TGCTTCTGCCTTGTCAGCTGCAAGTCTGGTGCTCTTTCACAGGCTTTAAAAATAAATCTTTAAAGGAACTATTCTGTTCTGTTTGGCTATAAAGGACACTGAAAGTTTCATATATAGCATATCATGCATAAAAATAATTGCTGCAACTGCAATGTACAAGTACTTATCGTTCTGAGGTAAAATCAAGAAGTGTCACAAGTAAAAAATATTACTCTGAATAAAAAGAAGTAGAGAAAAACAGCTATATCAGTAGAAAAGCAGAACACAGAGAGGGTTTTATTTGTAAGTCAGCCTTTTTATGGTACTCATCAGAATCCCTTTAGTACCTCATAAATATGAATTAATTTATGCCCATAACTCTTCTATGAAGTATGGAAAAATTATTTTCTTCAGTTTAGCAAAGAGAAAATGGGCCAAGACAAGATCAAATGAATTGCCCAACATCATAAGGATCACCCGTAGTAGAGCAGAATACAAATGCAGATTTTCAGAATCCTGGGCCACACTTTTAACCACAAAACAATCTTTCTCTCAAAGATAATTGTTGCTATCTATCACACAGGGAAAAATATCAACCAAGGAAAATAAATTAAAATACTCCATAAACAATAGGAATTACAGATGAAGAGGGAAATAATGAGCTTAGAGGTTTTTTGGTTTTTCAAATGCATGTTAATATCCTATTTTTAACACCAGGGATCTCCCTCTTCTGTCAGTTTCATAAGCCTCAATTTCAGAGATGATGTAAAACATACTCTTCAGTCAGTATGCTGATAGTTTGATTCCTGTGCTAGGTCTGCCTAAATCCCACAGTTCTGAAACCAGGAAAACCAGCCCTGAAGCCTGGAGATTTTTAGAATTATAAATATTTCTGGTTCAGTTTTCTCCAGGAGTACCAGGAGTTCTCAAGTAAGAGATGGCCTACACTGTGTTAGATAGAGAGCAGCTGATGAGAGACAAAGTCCTGGATCATCCTTTTCGTCAACGGTCTCCAACTGCAGTTAGACCAAAGGTACAGTGAGGAGTCAGTGACACTGTGACAACTGCAAAGCCAGCAGAACAGCCCAGAACCCTGCCTCATTTAATAGATCATGACTGTATTGCATTGCAAATACTGTTAATGTGTTTTGTCTTTAATGATAAGTAACCAATTAGCAACAGGATGCTAAGAGTCTGGAAGGAGTTAGGTGTGCATGCAGCTGCATGACACTATATTAAGTAACATATTTCAGTATGCTTAAGATGGGAATGGCTTTAAAATAAGCATATGTGTTTTCTGGCCTGTGCCCTGAACTCTTCCTCCACTTTTAACTTTTCCTGCATTTTCCCACCGCAATGATGTTGTTAAATCCTGGTCTTTTGCAGAGTTTCCTATTAAACTGAAAATTTGGTTTGATCATCTCAGCCTGATCACTTCAGTGGTTTAATCTTGTATATGACAAAGTTTTAGCTCTAAGACTTCTTCTGGACCTGGAATATATGTGCCTATGAACAGGAAGTCTCCAGGTTGATATTAGTAGGGAAATTAAGTAGAATGCAAGGTGGGAGAGAACATGTATCTCTATGTAAACACAGCCAATGATGTCTGTGATTGGAGTAGATGGGGAGCATGTTATACCAAAAAGAGCTGCACCGTCACTGTAACAAAATGCTTCTTTGCTATGAATTGCACGAGATGTGGTGCCTGTCCCTTGGTGAGAAGTGCTACAGGAGTTTGTCTGACTGGCCAGTCACAGGGGTCGCAATTCATCTCTGGCAGCTACATCCAACAGCACTAGTCTGCTGATCTCTCTGCTCCACAACTTCAGCTCAAACAAGCTGCAATAGCAAAATGCTTGTTGCTCTGAACTTTTCTCAGGCATGTGTGTGATGTCGCATTACATAAAACACTGTTCAGCAGTCGATGCATAAATACATTTGCCTTGTGTTACTAGGAGTGATGTTAGCCTATAGGTATTTCTCATGTGTGTCTGTGTGTGGCGAGAGAGACTAATAGATTAGGAAGTCTGTTTGAAAAAAGCTGTTCTTCCACAACAGTGCAGTACAAAGCCACTCAATGTCTGCTTGGTTTGCTTGTTTCTGCACCTACCTCTGCAAAATGCTGTTACCTGACAGTCTAGCAGGCAGAAGGTAGACTTTTAAAGTACTTCTTTTCCACCGAAACCTCACAATTCAGACTCCTGCTTGAAGATGGAGTTGTGCTCAGCACTCAAGCAGAAACTCTTGTGAAAGCAAGAGGCAAGGGGTCATATGGCTGATTTCTTGCAGCACCAACTGCTCAAATCTTAAAATAATTAAGTCAGAAGCAGTAGATTTAATCCCACTGTGTTTTGGTTTTTTTTTCTCTGACCATCTGTAAACAGAAGTGTTTCTTCCCTCAGTGCTGAAGTGAGGGAAGATTTACCAGGCAGTAGAGACCACAAGAGAAATGACAAAGACTTGGGGCTACTGGAGCCACTGCAGAAGAAACCCTAAAGGTACCTGTTAGCTTTCTCACTTTTTCTCTATCTTTCTCAAAAAAAATAAGCACCCTGTTTTGCTCCTTCTCTGAAGGGGAATAAGAAAAGGCCCACTATGTTCTGCATCTGTGGGGAAATTGGGAGGATGAGGATAAGAAAAGGAAAGCCATCTTCTCTCAGACAAGGATGACCACAGGCACACTGAACTGTCAGGTCTTACTTTTCAGGGTGTGAGCAGCCTGGAAGAATAAACACTCAAGGAGTCTTAAGGACACATAAAAATGCAAGGACAAGGTGAAAATAAAAGAACAAAAACTAAGTGAGTAATAAGGGGAAAGTATGTCAAATAATATGGAGCTTAGCAGTACACAAAATGATGGAAAAAGCTACTTACTGAAAGACATGCAAATAAGCAAGAAAGAAAAGAGTCATGATAATCCTTGAAAGAAGAGTAGAAACAGAAAGTCAGTGTCTCCCACAAATATTTTTGGAAGCTTTTTTTTTTATTTCTGTTCCATATGCTAAGAGCTGATCCCATCTTTAGAGTTGATGGCTTATGCCTTTCTATCAAAGCATTTTTTCTCAGCTGTGCTAACAAGTTTTTGGGCAGGAATGCAGTTCTGTGTTTAAGATGTAAAATAGAAATGCCTGCTTTAAAAGATTTTCAAGCTTCCTGAAGCTCCTGCTTTTTGAACAGCTATTTGTTCCAAGATACAATCTATTGAAGAACAAAAAACTAAGGCCAACTGCTTACTGTTCATGGCTGTTTTTATAGTCAGGACTGGTGTATGGGCTTATTTGCTGAGAAGTGTTAACTGTTGCTCAGGCTCTTTTTTGACAAAAATAGGATTCTTTGCAGATTGTGACACAGCACTTCCATGCCAAAAGCATAAATAAAAACCAGGCAGTAATAATATATATATACACATATGTTTTGAAGCAATAATCTTAGATTTTGCTTTAAAGTACATCTGAAAACCCATTATCACAAAGGAGATTTCTGAAAGTTGATACCACTCTCACCATAAGTAATATTCTTTAATAAGGACTTCAGCAAATTATTCACAGTGTATTTGCAATAGAGAATTTGCAGTTCACTGCTGCTCAGAGAACTTTTAGGGCATGAGGTGTAAAGGGATGATAAGCAGCATTAGCTGTCACCAGAAAACCGACTAAAAGAAGCCCAAGATTTCAGCCTTATCATGGATATAGATGTGAGTATTTTTGCAAGTGATAGGATGGATATTGCATCATTGTGGTGAGTTTTGTTCCCAGTTAGCAGGTGTTGAAGCTGACAGCGTGTGCCTTGCTCACTCGCATGCTCAGGGAGCAGGATCTCTGCCAGCTGCAGTATCCTGCCAGCTCTCCAGATCGCAGCCTGCAGGGACTGGAGGGATGGCACAACACAGGAACTCATTTACAAATGCCTGAATTTCCACATTTCCCAGATGAAGAATCAAGAATTTCTCTTCTCAAGATATTTCAGGGTCTTTTCTGAACTAGGGACTCAGATAACCTTTCCAAGTACAAGGGAAGCATTTTAAATGCAGCAGACTAAAATGATCTACAACTAGGGGTGACATCAGATTTCCAGGAAGTGAAGTTGGTCCCTTCTAACTCAGGATATTATATGATTCTAAAATACATGTTTACCATGTGTGCATATCTACTGTTAATTTTGCAAGTACTGATGTATTTTTTTCTGACTTTTCCTTTCTTATGAGCTCACAGGCATTTCTCCTCCACATTGCAACTTCAACAAACACAAAGGATTCTGTCTGTGCTCCTCAGCATGAAAGTCCTATTTCACAGGACATAGGAAATATAATGGAATATCCTGAATGGGAAGGGTCAAGTCAACTACTGGCTCTGCACAGGACAACCTCGAATATCACACCATGTGTCTGAAAGTGTTGACCAAATTCTTGAACTCCATCAGGGTTTGTGCTGTGACCACTTCCCTGGGGAACCTGTTCCAGTGCCCAACTACCCCCTGGGTGAAGAACTTTTTCCTGATATCCAACTTAAACCTCCCCTGATACAGCTTCATGCCATTCCCTTGGGTCCTGTCACTGGTCACCAGAGAGAAGACATCAGTGCCTGCCCCTTCAGTACTTCTCAGAATAATCTTCTCCATAATTTTACCAGTCACTGAGGTGAGAATGTCAGATCTGTAATTTCCAGGGTCATCCCTCTTCTTGAAAACTGGGACAACATGTGCCAGCTTCCAGTCCACTGGGACATGTCCAGGTTCCCAAGACTGTTCAAAAATCATTGAGAGAGATCTTGCAATGACATCAGCCAGCTCTTTGCATACCCTTGGATGAATCTGATGAGGCCCTATAGACTTACAGAGTTTGAACTGGAGCAGCAAATCCCACACAAGTTCAGGGTTGACTAGGAGTTTATCATTCTGGCATTGTATTTCTGTATCATTGCTAAATTCAGTGGGATGTATTTCACAAGAGGATAGCTCTCCCAGCTGCAGCCTGCAATCTGACTCCATGAAAAGCTTTGGCGTCAAACCTGATCTCAGTGAACTATGAGCCACCTGAGTACCTGAGTTACCCAGTAAATTTGGCTCTCAAAGTGCAGGGTGGGATTATTGGCTGGTTGACTATAAACCATGTGAGTTTCCAAAGCAGCAGATGGAAATGCAGTGTAAAGAGAGAAAACAGTTTGGAAGCTCAGTTATTTTGCAGTGTTTAGGGTTAAATCCTCCTGTCCTTGCTTCTGCTGAATAGCACTAATTAGCTTCCCTAATATGCCTTCAGGAGTATTTGGGCAGAAGGAGAAAATAAGGATGTTAAAATCACTTCTCTACATTGTCTTGCACCAGAGTGCTGGTTCAGCACCAAAGCTAGTAGCAAGGCATAAAATCTTGTGTCCCTTCTGATGCTGGGAACCTCAAGATAGATGTGGCATCAGACTGACCTATGGTCAGGGCATGACATGCTGTTCAGACTTCCTGTCAGGGGTGAGATTCACTGGCATTGAGGTCTTCAAAGTTTTTATAGGACTTTCTTAGAAATAAAATAAGCTGCTTCCTTTCAAGATAAAGACAAGGACATCCTGGTGGCATCATTACTGGTGCTAGGTGAGAGTGATCATCAGGCTTTTTCATTATGATTAACCAGTTGAGTTTAGGTTTAAGGGATATATAGAGCACAGCATGGTCCTGAAGGCCAAGAAATATGTGCAGCACAGTGAGGCACAGCTCAGCACAGCATGTTCCTGTGCCTGCTCTGGGTAACCAGTGCATGGATCACAAGCTCCTAGAGGTACAATAGTCCAGTTAAAACAACTACATATGTTCTATAGTCTTAAGTGGATGTGAGAGACTCTATGAGGAAAATACATCAAGTTCTGGACAAAATTTGTGGTTTAGCTTTCATGGCTGACTTTTGCTCAGAAAATTTCTGGGTAAACCCAGCTTTTCCAGTGCTTTCTGTGTAGAAGTGCTTGTATCACAGTGATTAAAATGGCTGTGATGGCATGGGGAGGAGCATTTCCACATCATTTACTCTATTTGTGTGTTGGTGAGAAGTCACAAATTGGCACAGGACTCAGGCAGCTGTGTTGGTAATTCCCAGACGAAAGCACACGGTATCCAGCTTCTCTGCATTGCTTAACCCTAGCACTGCAGAAACTGCTTTCAAGGAGGAGAGGGCTGTTTTCCCTGTTTGCTTCAGTGATCTTAATCAGTATGGACACTGCCAAGGAACAACACCCAGTTGGTGCCAAATCTGGGCTGTGAGAAGCAGACCTCAGTCTGCTTGGAAAACACCACAGCCTGCCACTTCCAGGCCTGCAGATGCCTGAGTATGGTCTGGCAATGCCTCCCTTCTCCCTCTTTTGGTAGGATGTGCCGAGCTCTTCACAGCCTGAAGGAGCCCTTGCAGCAGCTGCTCCCAAGACAGCAACGCTTTTCCTACACTGCTGGAGCTTCCCTGGGCCACAGAGGACCTCCCTCTGTAGCCACAACCGCAGAGGACAAAACTAGACCTCCTGACCAAATTTAAAAACTAGCAGTGTCAAATAGAGACTCCTTCTTCCAGCTCTGACCATTTCAGCCAAGAGTATGAAACTGAAAAAATCCTATTGATCTCTTTTTTGTTTCTTTCCCTCTGCTGTGCAAGCCCATATCATAAGGATGAAATCTGGGCTGTGCTGAAGCAAGTGGTAAAATTCCTATTGACTTCAACAGAGCCTGGGGTTTACTTCAGAAATCAACTGCAGAGCTATGCAATAAATTAAGTCAGCATTCCAGATGCAAACTCGTACACTTTAATTCTTTAAATTGCACTACTCTGGGTGTATAGTAATGCTATGGAAGTGTAAATTATTCTAGTGTTTCCTACATGTTACTGAAAATGAGATGCCAAACTTAATCTGCCTAAACTCCCAAACTAGTGACACGTAATTCAACTATAAATTGTGTGCAAAAATGTGCAAGCTGCAGAAAGTAGCTTCGGTCAAATACGTGGCTGAGGGTTGTGTGCTCAGTAGTGGATACAACATTACACTTGCCCATTTATTGCTGTCTGTGCTTCCTTCGGGCATGCATCCTTGACTTACATTTTTACCTAACTGTAGGCTCCTTTCTTTCTTCCTAAAATACTTAGTAGGGAACTGAAATGAAAAATTAAGATCATTGTCTAATTTTGTACGAACAGAAGGTTCTTTGGCATAGATATGCAGTGAAACAGGCATTACTGACAGCTTTGTCAAGCTTCCCATATGGACAGTTTATGCTGATTTCCAGGCAGTTACAAATAATTGAAGTTAAAGATCTCTGTAGCTTGTCTGACAAGGCTGAAACAAGAATCATGTATATGTCTGACTTCAGAAAGCTTATAATTTCTAGCGCTGCTGGTTTGCTTCTCCAAGGAACTGGCACGTTGTCTTCCAGCACCAAACAGCAGAAACTAATTTGGGACTGCCAGAAATGATCACAAAGTGACTTGCATGAATGATCACATTATGCAGCCTGAGGAAAGCTGGTAATGTCAGGAAAAATGGAGCAAACCCTTATGTTTGGTATGTGTTCAGCAAGAGTCCATTTCACCTCGTTTTCATGTCCTATGATCTCTTTTTCGATACCCAATAAAAACAGTTCTAAGGAAAGGGAAGCTTGCCAGCCTGACTAAACATCTGTTTTATGGTGAAGATGGCTGTGGGAGAAAAAAATCTGTTTATTAAAGTCTCTGAATACGTGTAATTATAGGGTACTCTGTGATGAATAAAGATGATGTTAGGCAAGAAATAAATGGTAGACACTTGCAGTAGTTGTTAGATACCTTGAAAGTGTCCTGGCTCCCAATGGTAATGTATGAACAAAATGGAATTTCCTTGATGACAAAAATGGGCAAAATTACAGATTATCAAATCCAACAAGCAGAATCACCACAGTGATTATTCCAATTTTTTGTGTGTATGTCAAGATTTGCATCATGTATTTTATGTTTGCACTTCTCTTCTAAGAAAGTCAATAGGGGCAGGACCAAGAATCCACTGATAACTGATGTGTGTTGTAATTTTGTTGGGTCTGGTTTATGTCTAATGATAAGATTCCTGTGTTTATATAATTTAGACACCTGAAAAGAAAAATGGGAGTTTGGAGCCTCAAGAGCTGAGATTTGTATAAGAAGGGAGTTTCTCTTTCTGCTGATTCATGGAAAATAATTGGGCTGAGGGTTGAGAGGTTATCTAGTCCATCCTCCTAAATCTGTGTCAGCTCAGTGCCTTTTGTGCAGCTTCTGAGGAACTGGGAGCAGATGAAGACCATTTACATACTCAGAGGCTACTCTCATGCCCATTCTTCAGTGCTCTTTTTTCAGTCTGCTGCAGTAGCCTTTTCTACACCAGTGTTCCTGACCTTTTCTTCTTCCTCCATAAGGTTTATTAGGGGAGAAAGAAAGCTCCAGAAACACCTACTGTTCTTGAAAAAAAAGAACCCATGGTTGATCTTTTCAGTGAAAATGGATGCAAAATCTTGGTTTTCTGCACCTTCAATCAACAGGTTTACCCCCTCACGTCAGAATGGTGCATTTATGGAATGCCACAACTTGTTGCCCTGGTTAAAAGCCTTTAAGGTTAGCTGGTTTTCTTCAAGAAATAGGAACTTTTTATCTTCATTGACATATAAGCATTCAGTGAAGCTCAGGCTCATGCCTCACTAGTAAATTTTAATGGGAATCCATACTAGAAAAGTCCACCTTCCAGTTATACCGGTATGGTGCATTTGCTGGGAATGTTCCATCTGAGAGAAAATCTCTGAAGTATCTGTGTTTGCTGCTTAACTCCAGGAAGGTTTAGCACAGTACATAGGTCAGGTATAGACAAATGTGGTGAGATATTCTCCTGCAATTCTGTCTGGCTAGGGACTCTTTACCTTTTGTTTGTTCTGATAGAAACATTGAAAATCATGAAACTCTGAAAAATGTTATCTCATTTGCCAGGTCTCTGTTTCCCTTCTCAACCCATTACAATTGTATTGACTCAGTTGAGCTGATGTAATTAGGAAGTTGAAATTACCTCTGAGTTTTGATACTGCTCTGTTCTTTGCTTCATCTTACAAAAAATGTTGGAGTTTAATACATGTCTTACAAATGTATGGTGCCTTCAGAAGCAATTGCTTCAACTAGAGCTATGCATGATTCATTTTGAACAGGAAATTCTGGGAGATTCTATAAAATCTAGGAAAAAAACCCCTCCTGGAGCATTTCTTCCAGTAAATTTTGATCATGACTTACTGAAACCAGTGCAAATTTTTTTCATTGACGTATGAAGGATGTGGCATAATTGTCTTTAGACTACTCTTGTTTTATGTCTCCTCATTGTTGTGCTTAACCTTCTCAGTGTCACCTCCTAAGCTTATCTAGACTTCTCTGTTGGCAATAAAAGTGCTGGCTTCCACTAGGCTTCCCAGGGATGAATTTGGCACATAACCTCGGTGTGCTCTCAGAGTGCATGTGATTTCTTTATGAAGTCACTTTGACTGTCTTAAAAAATCTCATTCAAATATCTAAAAACCTAATTGCCAGACTCTTAAAAGGCAAGCAGTGATGTAGATCTCCAGAGTTCATCCACTGGTTGATGCCAGAGTTCAACACCCAAATATCCTGATTAGCTGTACCAGATTGATGTTTTTATATGGAACTAGTGAACATCTATAGCGCCAGTACAAAAAATATCACACTGCAACTTTTCATATTCCTCACAAGTACAAATAGTTTAGAATTGTGAACCATATCTTAAAAGTCATTAAAGATACAGAGAACTAACAAACCTAGTTTTAATTTAAAAGATAATATTCTTTTTAAAAAGTCACTTTTGTGAATCTATTAGATCAAATCCACCTGTCTCATACTCCCTCATTGCAACATTTCACCTTAGCGGCTTATCACTTTCTACATCAATAGCAACCTCCACGTGTGTAATCCTTAATGGTTATGGGGAATTTCTCCCTTTCTGAGTTTGAACTTTTTTTGTGAGGAGCTGGAATTAAATTTTCAAGTAGTCAGTGTTCTGTCTTTTAAAATAGCTAAG